AGCGTTGTTCCACAAACCCCTCCAGCGAGGTGAGCTCTGGCCACCACTGATCACAACAGCTGTCAGACCCGTGCTCCTGCCACTCCTGATCATCGTAACTACCAGGCCACCCGGGGGGCGGCAGGCGGCATGTTCCCAAAGCGGTGCGATCCTGCAGCTCTCGGGGGGGATGGCAGCCCCCACCCCGTGCAGGGTTAGCTTTACCAAGTCCTGAGATCCCTGTGCCGGGGGAACAGACCAGAGGGGATAACCCTGCCTGAGCCCAGCTGGCATAGTAGATTGTTTCCATTTCCTAAGGGCCATCGGTACCACAATGACACACACACACAGCCTTTGTGGCACTGCCCTCTGTGCTGCTTGGCACACGCCCTTCTTGGCCCCCTGGCCCTGCGGGGCGGGCTCTGACATTCCCTCACTCACCTGATTGCTCCGGGCTGGCTGCACAGGGAGGTGGACACTCTTGAGAACATTGAGGTTCATCCCAAACCCTTACACAAAGGTTTCTAACCATTAGAGGAGTGAAGTTCTGGAACAGTCTTCCAAGGGGAGCAGTGAGGGCAAAAGACATATCTGGCTTCAAGACTGAGCTTGATAAGTTTATGGAGGGGATGGTATGATGGGATAGCCTACTTTTGGCAACTAATTGATCTTTGACTATTAGCGGTAAATATGCCCAATGGCTTGTGATGCGACACTAGATAGGGTGGGATCTGAGTTACTACAGAGAATTCTTTCCTGGGTGTCTGGCTGGTGAGTCTTGCCCACATGCTCAGGGTTTAGCTGATCGCCATATTTGGGGTCGGGAAGGAATTTTCCTCCAGGGCAGATTGGCAGAGGCTCTGGGGGTTTTTCGCCTTCCTCTGCAGAGTGGGGCACGGGTCACTTGCTGGAGGATTCTCTGTACCTTGAAGTCTTTAAACCACGATTTGAGGACTTCAGTGGCTCAGACATAGGTTAGGGGTTTGTTGTGGGAGTGGATGGGTGAGATTCTGCGGCCTGCGTTGTGCAGGAGGTCAGACTAGATCATGTTGGTCCCTTCTGACCTTAAAGTCTATGATTCTAAGCCTGACCTGGCTGCCTCCTTGGGGCCCCTTCTGGCCCATGGCGGGAGACGTCGGTACCAGAGGGCTCAGTGACTCCCAAACTGGGGGTTGCAGCATCCTGGCTCCCCCTCTCTGTTTTGGTAGCATCTGCGGGCCTTGTTGCGCTGGACACTGGCCAGACCTGGGAGGAGGCAGGAGTTTGTGGACCAGCTAGGCACTGAGGGAGAAGGGAAATGGGTGGCCACTTGTCCAAGATCTCCCGGCAGCTCTGGGCTCAAACCCAACTCTTCCCGTCCCCACACCAGAGCCCTCCCCGCTGCCTCTCATCGCCAACAGCTCCTGTGCAACCCCCGACCCGTTGCCAGCACAGGCAGTGCCCGTCGCTGGCACCTAAGGGTGCAGGTGCCAGTGGGAGGCTGAGATGTGCTCACAGGGGTGGTGTCCCTAGGCGGCGCTGAGCAGGGTGGAGCCCCCAAAAAGCAATCACAGGCTGACACAGCCAGGGCAACTTGTCAATTCACTTTATTGTTTTCTTAATAAACTTCCTCTCCTCTGGAGGCCGAGAGGGGCAGTCGTGAGCATCTCGCTTTGTTTCTTTAGTTAAACGCTATGCTAACAGCAATGGAGCCAAGAGGAGAAAGAACGTACACTACCAGAGAAAGGCACTTAGAGACGGGTAAAATACCGAGAGCCTGGAATGTGTGACGACGACCGAAAAACAAAACGTATACTGGCCCTGGCAGGCCTAGTCTATCACAAAGCACATGCTGTGCTACTGTTAACCCTTTGAGTGGCATGCTGCTCGCCCGGCCTGGGGCGAAGGGGCAGGGATCTCTCGGCAGCCCCAGAGCTGGCAGGCGTGATGCTCGCCCGCAGCACCAGGTTCCCCCCAAGCGTTGGCTCTGGGGGGCTGGCTCCCTGCCAGCCAGGCTGCAGTGCTGTAACAGCCAGACCCTGAGGGCCCCTCCCTCCAGCAGCTGCAATGGAGTTTTGAGGTGGAGGATGTGGCCAGTGAGGGGGGTCTAGAGCCTGGCTAGGAGGATCTCCTGGTTGGAGGGTGGCAGCAGAGCAGGGGTCCTGCTGAGGGCAGGGGAGAGGTACGCAGGACCCCCTTGTGTACCAGGAGGAGCGGAAAAGACAGCGAGACCCCTCCTGTAAGGGAGGGATAGTCCGGGTGGGCCCCTTGGGGCGAGCACTGAGCAATCCCTCTGCAGGGGAGGGAGCGTCCGAGGGGCAAGCGTGGGGAGGGGGAGAGGCCAGGAGACCTGAGCACAAGCAGTGGCTGCTTGGAGATGCCCTGTCCTCAGGAAGTGCCTGGGCCTGCTCCTGCGGGCACAGCCATGCCATGCCCAGGCCTAGCTGTGCTCAAGGAGCTTGGCTCTGGAGCAACCACTCAAAGTGCTAAATCAGTCTAAAGAGTTTATGTAGCTTATACGTCCGTAGGCCAGCCTGGCTGGCCCTGGAGTGTCTAGAATAGCTTACGGTACATACTGCGTGGGGCCATCCGGCCAGCACCAGCTGAAGAGACAGGCTGAGCCCACGGGCATCACCCACAATGGCTCAGTGCAGCTCTGCGGTGCCAGCCAGCCAACGTGCCTGCCCTCTTTGGCCACGGCTGAACCTCCAGACCCATGTTGCGCAGGGACCAACCCTGCCCAGATCTGCTCCCTGCTGGGGGCAACCACACCAGGCCCTCACCAGGCTGGGAGGAGCCTGCTGGGCCGCATGGCATGAGCCCAATCTGCACATTGTTGTGACTCTATTCCTTATGGGCAGGTGTCTCCTGGAGACTACAGCTCCCAGTAGGCACTGCTCAGAAGGGGGTGGAGTGCCTGCTGGGAGCTGTAGTCTCAGGCCACAGCCTTGGCCACTCCACATTTAATGCTGTAACTTAGGCTGGCTTGCTGCCCCTCACTCAGGGCAGAGCCCCAGCACCTCACCAGCCGCTCCCCCCCCCGAGCGAGGGCTGTGATGCCCCGTGGCTGGGAGGTGCAGACACATCAGCCCCCAGTGCTGTGGGGTAGCAGAGCCCTCCCACCAGGCTGCACCGTGGGCAGTGAGAGTGGCTCTATGCTGTGTGTGTAATCAGCTTTCTAACCAGCGGGGTGCATGTCGGGTGGGGGGGGCAGAAGACCAGCTAGGGGGAGCTCATGCTCCCCAGCAACTGGCACGCATAACCACAGTGCTCTGATGGGCCAGGCTCTGCCTCCTGCTGCTCCTCCCCTGGACTGGGTGCCCCAGGGGCATCCAGCTGTCACCCAATGCTGCTTGGGCTCAGCCTGGCACTGGGCCTGCTGCTCACCAGGCTGCCCACGGGGCTGGCTGGGGTGTCTCCAACCAACCCCCTGGGGCAGGGACAGCAGGGGGCACAGCTAGGCCCATCAATGGAGACAGAGAAGAACATGGGGCAGCTGGCTGCACCCAGGCCATGGGCATTACTCTGTGTGGGGGGGACAGGGCTAATGGGGTCCCTCCTACCTGCATATGCTGCAGCCCCTGGCTGAGGACAGGCCCAGGGGAGCTCTCAGGGCAACAGCTTGCCCAGGCCATGTGCCCACAGGCAGCCTGGCAGCCACGCCTCAGGGAGGTGGCGTGTGCCAGGGCAGGGCTAGCCAGGGCTCCGGGCAGTGGGGCTGGGCTGGAGAAGGTTGCAGCTGCTGAGCCAGTCACTGGGAGATGGGCAATGGGTCCGTGGGGTGATCTGCCCAAAGGGTGGAAGGCAAACCAGTTTGGGGAGCGTCAGCAGCAGGCCTTGGGGGGGACGGGACAGCAGGGGGGGCTCAGCCCCAGGCCTGATGGGGCTCACCTTGGCAGCTGGCCAGAATGGGGGCTTGGCAGGTGCAGCACCAGGTTGTGGGTGGTGGCCCAAGGGCTCCCTGCAGTGCTGGGGGGGGGGGGCCTGCAGCAATCTGCCCACTCAGGGTGTTAACTGAAGTACTGCCCCTGGCACCCGCCTCCCAGCTGGGCGGGCCAGGACACTAGCGGGCCAGGGTTCACAGCCGGGGGGGACTCCCGCCCTGCGGCGCCGGCCAGCCACACACACTCGTGTTACATGCTAAGGTACTAACAGAGCTGAAGACGATCTTGCCCCCGCCCTCCCCCCTCGTTGGGGAAGGGGCATGGGAGCCGGTGAGCGGCATACTCAGCGAGTATGCGTTGTCGGGGGAGGGGTCCGGGGGCAGGGCTCCCCACGGGACTGGGGGTCCGTCTGTCTGTCTCAGTCCAGTCAACCCAGGGCTGAAGGGCAATGGGGCTGCAGTCCAGAAGTTCATCGTGGTCTTGTCTCGCCGGCATCTCCGTCAGGCAAGCCCAGCTGTGGGTGAGTAGCTCTGCCTCCTCCACTGGCCCGGGGACGGCTGGGTGCATTCGGGGCCCGGCTGATCTGCTCTTGGGGGGGGGGCGGTGTCAGACTGGGCAGGGCACCAGTTGGCTGGTGGGAGCTCCGTCAGCTGGGGGGTGACAACGGGAACACCCCTGCTTCGGCGGCTCCTGGTGGTACCACATGGCTGGGCTGGCTGCTCCCGGGTCAGCGCTGAGTGGCAGGAAAACACCGCTTGGCTCCAGGGGCGCTGGCTGTGCTGCAGGCCAGGCTGGTGCAGGCAGTGGGAGGTGGGTGATGGAAGAAGGCCAGTGGCAGGTGTTGGGGCGAGCGAGGCGCTAGAGCCCCTCACGTGGGGGCTCCTGGAAACGAGCCAGCGTCCCACGGTGTGCGGGAACCGGAGCTGGAGTGGAGGGAGCCTGCCAGCCCAATGCCATGGCAGTGCCAATCCTAGGGTGGGGGGCTTACTCTGAGCCAGAGAGGAAGGTGCCCAGGGCTGCCCGCGTCATGGGGCTTGAGGGGGGGGGAACATGCCTGTGTTTGTGGGTTCTGGCATCATCCTCCCTGCCAGGCCATGTGTGATGGCCAGAGGGGGTGGCCAGTGCCAAGGGGGCGTCCAGTGCCAAGGGGGCAGCTCTGCTGCAGGGGCCAGGGGCCACGGCACCCAGAAGCCGCAGGCTGGGGGGAGGAGGGTGTCAATGGGCCCTTCCTCTGGGATCGCTCACACCCACTCACCTACTGGGCTGCACACAGCCAGCAGAGGGCGCAAGTACATGAGCACCTGGCACTGACTGGGGGTGGGCACGGGGCTGGGTGTTGGGACCTCAATGCAGGTGGCTGCATGGCTCAGGCCTCAGGCAGGGGGCACCTGGTCAGCACCAGGGACAAGGGCCCGACGCGGGACCTGTCAGAGCGGGGGGTTGGGTGAGATAAATAAATAGCGGCGCCTCCCACTGCCTTAGGCCTGGGGCAGGCAGCCCCCAGGGAGAGACGGGGCGATGGCACACCAGGCTGGCTCTAGGGCCCCGATCCAGCTCCACGCCCCATTGCTCCCAGAGCCACGGCCTGGCTCGGGTCCCTCCGCAATCGTCCCTCTCCGGTGCCCGCTCTGCTGCCACAACCGACCCTGGTGCCCCACCCCGGCGCCTGCCAGAGTCATGAGCCTGCTCCTGCTGTGTCCGGTGCCAGCGTTGGCTCCCTGGAGAGCCAGCAGGAGGCGCCAGGGTGCGGCTGACTCAGGGAGGGGGCAGTTAGCTGTCTCAGGGGGTCCCATGAAGAGGCCTCTGGAGCGGCCTGCGCTGGGCCAGGGGTGCGGGCCGGCCGCGGGGCTGGGATGGGGATTATTGCTATTCTCAGAAGAGTCAAACTCTTCTTTCGTGAAGGGTACAAGTGAGACCCAAGCGGCAGTCGCAGGGGAAGGGGGCAGGAGGTCCGGCTCCCCCCCACCCCGCTGGCGGATTCACCCGTCAAGACTCGGGCCAAGGTGGTGCCTTGTCTTGCGTCTGGGCTTCGTTCACTCAGTTCACCACGGCCGGCTTCAGCAAGACGGAGCCAGGGGGGATCACCACCCAGCCTGGCGGCAGGGCCTCGGGACTGCCCATAGAGCTCACGCCGGTGGACAGGTCCAGCACGGCGCCGGGCAGCAGCGGCAGGCTCTCCGGAGCACGCCTGAGCCGGGCCCGCTCAGTCCTGTCACACGAGTCTTTGCGGCTCTCGAGCCCCTGAGCTTTGCCCGCTTTGGCCACCCTGGTGTCGCCCGCCTGGCACTTCTCCACGTCCGTCTTGCCAGCAAGCAGGGACACCACTGGCAGCCCCAGCCCGCTAGCCCCGAAGGGAGACGCCAGCAAGGGGCTCTTGGCCAAGTTGAGTGGCGCCCCATTGAGGGACAGCATGGGGCTGGGCAGCCCCGACAGCGCAGCAGAGCCCACGGCACCACAGGCCAGGGTGCTGAGGTCCAGGGGACCCGGGGCCAGGGGGATGGGCAGAGAGGCGCCCAGGCCGGGCAGCGCGTGCCCGCCAAAGAGGGCGGCCGGGTTGGGGATGATGAGTTGCGCCCCGTTGACGTAAGGCACTTCCGCTGAGGCGACGGGGGTCTTGGGAGGCTGCTGGAGTTTGAGCAGCTCCTGCTGCTCGTGGGACACAAAGTGGCCATGGGCCTTGATGTGCTTGCGCAGTGAGCTGGGGTCCGTGTAGCGCTTGTGGCAGCCGGGCATCTTGCAGTAGTAGGGCTTGTCCACATAGTGGGTGCGCGTGTGCTTGAAGCGGTCGCTGGAGTTGGAGTAGCGCTTGCTGCAGCCCTCGTAGGGGCACATGTAGGGTTTCTCGCCTGCATGGGGACACAACAGCCATGAGCTGCCACAGGCTTCTCGACCCGGCATGCCATGGGGCCTCTGCCGCCAGGCCATGGGCTGCCTAACCCAGTGCGCCACAGCACTTCCGCAGCCAGGCCATGGGCTGCCTGACCCGGCATGCCATGGGACCTCTGCCACCAGGCCATGGGCTTCCTGACCTGGCGTGCCATGGGACCTCCGCCACCAGGCCATGGGCTACCTGACCCGGCGTGCCATGGGACCTCCGCC